CAAACAAGAGGTGAGTGCATGTTTGGGAGGTGATTAAATTATAATATAATAAAAATCGGTCAAACATGCTTTTATCTTTACATTTTTTTAGGATTCACAACTATTACTTACTTATATCCACACATTCTATAGGGGACACATATCACTTAAATGTTAATTTAGTCACTTCCCAAACATGCTCTTAAACTCGGATGATGTGTCCCACGTTTAATCAAGGAATTCGTTGTCGACCAGTTCTGATGCTTCTATTGTTTGCGTTATACCAGGAAACTTTGCGAAGGCTGAAGAAATCTTTAGCCCCAACAAGGACATGTATGCCATTTTTGAGGGGCTGATCACTCGTAATGTCCATTGAAAGAACTTTCTTGTATGTACCTTCATGTCTGAAATTCTTTGTTTTGCCATTATAGCATTTCTTATGTATTTAGCGTTGTAAAAGTGAGTTATTAGGTTAAAAAACAATGGGAAGTTAAATCGATTATATAGATTTTTCCGTATGTTCATGGTCAATGTTTCAATAAATGAATTTGTAACATCTCAAGTTGTTTCATAGGAGGAAACATGAAGAATTTAGACCAAGAAATACATGGCTACAAGTATTCACAACTATTTGCACGATTGGGAAAACTCAGGACACGAATTTGGGAGGGGCGAAAAAGGAAATCAAGCTTATTTTTTTTGGGGCGGAGGGAGTAATACAATGTGTAAGATTTCAAATGTACTTTAATAAAGATACTTCGGCTATAAACTACTTCCTTTTTCCATCTCAAACATACAAAAATTCTTAGACGAGACTCCTAAGTTATATTCTTATTTTCATATCCCTCCATGTTCATCTCAAACTATTACAAATGGTAAATTTCATTATGGGTCTCCAACATTTCAAAAGTACGCACCCATGTTCTAAGTTAATGGAATACGTTTATTTTATTGTTAAATACTCGTGTCAGACTCAAACGATGTAGGATTGAAAATTAATTCTTGCACTTATCGATATGTGCTTAAGTTTGACAGTAAGTAGCGATCTAAGAAGGATTTTTTGCCCAAGTTCCTCAATAACTATTTCCCTAAGTTCGATAAAGATTTTTTGGAAAATAGATTTTGTGAAAAGTAAATTTTTTTTTTTTTTAAGAATGTATAGCTAAAAAATAGGAAAAAGTTGGGCCCACGTACAAAATTATTTTATCGGAAAACAGGGGCTTCGTTTCAACCTATCATGGCATCACTTTAGTGTCTATGAAGTCACTTAACGTCCAAAAAAAAAAAATTCTGCTAATTGAGGACTTGAGCGCAATAAATGATAGGTTAGAAAAAAGTGCCACATCTACAAATTGTTGGAAATGAAAGAATGGAATATCCCTCATTAAATTGACAACAATTTTAAATTGATGTAATTTTTCATTTCCTCAAATCTAAATTGGTCATTTTCCATTCTCTTATTTATAGTTTTCTACTTAAATTTTATTTGCTTTTATATGGAATAGATTTTTTTTTTTTTTTGATAACCGTGGATGTTCGGGCCAGCTTGCGCGCACCTCGACTAATTCCACGGGGCCCTGAAGTTTACGGCCAGGTACTCACCTCAGTGACCCTGAGGGGACTCGAACTGTTATATGGAATAGAATATAATGTTCTATAAATTTGAAAACAAGTATATTCCCATGCATGCAACATATGAATTGGGATGATGAATGGCCAAAATTAGGGCATAGAGGGAGAGAGATTCGGGTTGTTGCCATTGATATATAATGAGAAAAGGAGATTTCACAACCACTATATTCTCAATTCATCTCTCTCCTCTTTCCTTCTCTCTGTCTTTCCTCTCTCTCTCTCTGCATGTGAAAATTTTGCAATTTTCACTGTATGAATTGGTTCCTGATACATCTGGTAATTCTGCTGTCTCTCTTAGGAACCATGGAATTTATCCCAGAATCTGTGGCTTCGGCTTCTCCACGGTATTCGATCTTTTCTTCTTGTTCTTGTTTCTGAATCTTGTTCTGGATTTTGGTAGTCTTTTTGAAGAAATCTATTCGTTTTGGTTCGTGGGATTTGGGAATTTTTCATTTGTTTTCGATTATTGTTTCATGTTAAATGTTTACTTATTCTTTATATCATAACATCAATTCTATCAGCCTTGGAAATGGATTTGGCTGTATTCACGTAGTCGACCAGAAATTGATTGGCGTATTGACCATAATTCTATTCCACGTCTTATCCTTAGTTTGTGGCTTAATTGGGTACCCTACCTTACAAGCCGATTTTAAGGGTGAATTTTACCTAATGTGGACACTCTTTTGGGGATGAACTTCGTTATAGACGAGCCATGATCTAGGGAGGCTTCTTTAAGTAGAAAACTGGTTTCGTGAAGTAACCTAACTTAGAATATGGGTCATTGTGGAAGTTGGCTAATGAAATAAGCCTCATTGCATTGAATTACAGTGAGGGGGAAAATACATTTGATATTGCTGAAGGAAGTGCAGAAGGAGAGCTTTTAGAGATTGGACAGAGATTACTCTTTTCAGCTTCCTCCGTTTCTCTTTCTGCTGAAGGTAAAACTATATTATTCTCGTCTCGTGTTCTTGTAAGCATTGGGGGTCCTCGTATGTTTAATGGAGAGGTTGAAAATTCTCGAATAATGAGTTTACATATATTGCATTTTGCAAGAATTGACGACTATGGAGGGAGGTACAATAGGTGAATGCTCACCATCAAATTCAGAACAAAGAGGAAACGCAAAATCTCATTTGCAATGGCATGGATTTCTTCGAAAACTGAAAAAAGGGTCGACTGTGCATTTGCATTCGTTCCATTCTAACTTACTGAACTTTCATTCAATCAGGAAGCAGTTGAAAAGAAGACGGGATGCACAGACTTTATCAGTATTACCACCCATCATCGACCCTAATTTGATAAATAGCTTTAAATCTACGTGGAAGAACTTCTCCCTCTTCGACCTCCAAGAAGCAACGGACAACTTCAGCCATGAAAACATGATCGGGGAGGGAGGTTATTCTGAAGTTTACCGCGGTCAATTGGAAAACGGCCAACAAGTAGCAATCAAGAGGTTGATTAGGGAAACGCCGACTAATAAGGCTGAAGACTACTTATCAGAGCTCGGGGTTTTAGTACATGTCAACCATCCAAACATTGCAAATATTATAGGCTATGCGATTGAAGGAGGGATGCATCTTGTTCTTCCTTTGTCTATTAATGGGAGCTTGTCATCTATGCTCAATGGTTCGTTCATTATAAGTGGTGGTTAGTCTTTCTTTTACTTTATAACGGCCAAAAACCTTAATTTCTCATGTCCCTCCCTCGACTACTCAGGTCAAAAGGAGAAGCTAGCGTGGTGCTTAAGGTACAAGATTGCTTTAGGTGTCGCCTCTGGCATTTCATATCTTCATGAGGGGTGTCAACGGAGAATTATCCACAGAGACATCAAATCTGACAATATTTTGCTCACTGAAGATTTCGAACCTAAGGTACGACCCAAACATACTCTAAGGTAGAGGGTTTAGTGTTCTAGTGTGAAGTCTGAGATTTGATGCTTAAGTTTTTTAGTTCAATGTAGATCACGGATTTTGGGCTCGCAAAGTGGATTCCTGACCAGTGGACTCAACTCACCGTTATGGAGTTAGAAGGCACGTTAGGGTACGTGAGCTTAAATTCCAACGAAGAAAACTGGTTATATCCTAAATTCTGAAAATTCAGTATGATCAATTGCTTCCCTTGTTATGAGCAGGTATCTCCCTCCTGAGTTTTTCATGCATGGCACAGTGGATGAAAAAACTGATGTTTATGCTTTTGGAATACTATTGTTAGAGCTCATAACTGGTCGACCAGTCATAGACGATTCACATCAAAGCCTCATGATATGGGTACGTTAGCTTCTCTTCATGACAACTGCCTAATACTGTATACAAAATATGAGAACATTGTATTCTATGCTTGTGCAGGCCAAGCCTACGCTCATCAGCAAAAACTACGCAGAGCTAGTTGATCCATCACTTGGTGATGCTTATGACTCGGAACAGATGAATCAGATGGTCATGGTTGCTTCTATATGTATACATCAGTCTTCTACAGAAAGGCCTAAAATGAGCCAGGCACGTGTTCCATTTAACACGTAAACATTTAGAATGAGACTTAGTTTGTTATTGTGACCAACTTTTTCCACATGATGCAGGTTGAGCGAATGTTAAAAGGCAATGAAGGGACACTTCCGATCAAGAAAAAATTCCAAAAGAGAGCAGCAATTAGGAGGACATATTCTGTGGACTGTATTGAGGAAGAAAAATGTACAGGCTAATCTTCAACATGAGATAGATAGCAAAGCAACAGAACAAGAAGTTAATAGGAATGTTGGAATCTATGTACATTATGCTTCTTGCAGATTAGCCTTTGAAGATTTGAATTGGAGACTCCAAGAAATTGGGTTTGTAAATCTTAAAGGAGATTTTTAGGATTGAGCTCTGTTGTGAATATTCAACTAATATGTACAAGAAGAGATGATCTATCATAAATGCATTTATTTTCTTCATACATCTAGTTGTTCATTATAGAAATGTAGTGTTCACAGGACTTGAGTATCAGAGTAGAATCGGCCACCGGAAGTAGGTGGCAGCCAAGCTCGTACCGGTTTTGTAAATTCTCCAGCAGGCAACATGAGTGGGACCAATATTTAGTGGATTTTAACGTACTTTGTCCAAAATATTTGTTACAGTTATAATTATTCTTTCTATCTAGTGCTGCCACATGTCACCATTCTATACGACAAGAAATTTTGACAACATAAACCATTTCTATGTCATTACCACTTGTGGTGGGGAAAGTGACGAAACATTAAGAACATGTTTTTATCATTTATGATCTTTTGTAAGACCACAAGACATACTCTATACATGATAATAGTCGAGAAACGATGAGTTTACATAGGATAATATTGGAAGTAATGACGATTCTGGAGGAAAGCAAACATCACCAGTAGATGGACAAGCAGTTTAGTAGAAAGTTCGCCGTCGTCTTCTAGTTTGCCTCACAGGCATTGGACTTCCACCGCTACCGGGAAATTCCCATCTGGTAATGGCACCATCCCAAGAAGAGGTTACCATCATAGGGTAGAAAGGGTGCCAATGGCAGTCTCTTACAGTATCCTCGTGGTAATTGAGTTTTGCAACTTGATCTCCACTAACCTACACCAGAGAAAAACGAGCTTAGTTACTAAAAAATATGTTCATGTTTGGCATACAAAATTGGACAGTACCAGACACTATTAAATAAAGTTAAAATCTTGTTGAAGTTAGTCCTGTTAAGTATTGCATACCAAACACATTGTGTATGTACTATTAAAAAAAATGATGTCATTGATTCCTTGTTTTGTCGGCAAATTAGCAACCTTTCCATGTTTGTAACCAATGGAAAATGCTATGATGTGTTTCCCTAGATTGTCAATGCATTCAAATAGCTAAAAAGTATGGGAATCTCCATGAATGCGCGTGGAATTGGAATGACTTCCAAAAGGGGTACTGTAATTCTTAGATGAAAATCAAGATAGGGTCAGGGTCATATGCAGTTGGCTACTAGACTTATAGTGATTTGTTGAAGGTCTAAAATTCATCGTCGATCCACCCTATAATGACATTTCTTTCCATCCCAAAACCATTTAAACTAATGTGTCCAATATATTACACACTTCAAAGTTATCAAAGCACTCATCGTGACTTAGATTTAAATCTCTCAATCGATACTCTACCATATTTGTTTGACAAGCTATTAAAAATCATTTCTGACCGCTAAAAATGGAATCCAAGAATGTGTAACTCTTAGAAACAGAAATTCAGCCGTTCCTAAATTTTCAATACTCTTTCCAACATTGTATATGTCTTCTAATGCATCTATTTTCTTTATATCTAACATTCAAAAATAAGTCATTTCCAGAGAAAAAAGGGTTTCCTAATATTTTGTTAGAAATCCAAGTTGTTTGTGAACCTATGAAAATAACAAAAATTTGAGATCTTAAGAGAAAAAACACGATAACACACTGGTTAAATAAAAGAAGGAACATCAACAAAAATTGTTCATGTACTCCTACATAATAACAATGCAAAGAAAAAATGAATATGGTGTTAGACTAAACACACAATAATTTGAATACATACCAGGTCATAAATATAAACACACGAGTCGGCAGATCCACTGTATATATACTTCTGCGCTGTGCTGCAAGTCAATGCAGAGATTGAAATATGAAGTCAATATTTGAAAGCACGGGGAGTAGGAAGTTGGAAGCAAACCCCTAGATAATCAAAATAAGCTTCTAAAATCATACTACCATTTACCGGAACACCAGAAAAAGGCCATGACAGTTTTTCAGCAAACAATTCAACATCTAACTTAGTCTATTGATATGTATAGACCGTTCAACGACCCAAACCAGCAAATGAAACCGGACAGCCAAAAAATCGTAGTTCTAGATTAGGTTTAGGCAATGAAATTAAATCCTTCACCACCACATCAGTTCATGTCTGCCCAATCCATTGCTGCATCTGCCGAAACATTCAATGATATCAAATCCTCGTCAACCAAATGAAACCATGTTGATGTTGGTCAATCATGAGCCCTGATTGACAACATTAGTCCCTCAAATCAAGATCTTAGCTTCAACTTTAAAAGGATTTGACCTCAAGGGGAGATGCTTAAACGTCGGTCAACAGGTAAAAAAATTGTGAGTAATCAGATATTGCTCCTGCAAATTATATAGGTATATCTATTGACAAGATGTTAAAGGTACAGACCGTTTTACTACTTTTTTTACCCACTGACCACTGGCTATCCTATATATGGCACAAAAGTGATAATAGTGTTCCAAGTTTTCAACTGAAAGTAGAGTTAACATTTCGGTAGTAGCACTAAAATTCACTTGATGAAAACACAAACGACATGTATACAAGATAAGCACACAACCATGAGCTAGTAACAATGATAAGTTACCTATTTGCTGGAGAGAAATGACAGCGTATGAGAGTTTGCAAGACTGTATGGCCTTTATAAGTAGCTACTGACAGATCATCTGGATGTCTCATATTTCTTACATGCCCTGGATATGACATCCATCTGTAATCCCATTCAGCATATCTACGAACAGGAGTGCTACATAAACATAACTCGACATCAGTATTGAGATTGAGCAAACTGAAACTAAAATTGATTTGCCACTCCCATCCATTTCCAAAAATAATGCAAAAACTAGTAAGTCAGCTATCGGGAAATGCCAGACAAAAAATTCTAGCTGAAAAATACAAGACAACATCATCTAACTGCAGAATCAATTGGGAAAATAATTTCAAGCATTACGCATGCTGTAACCTTTTCCCATTTCTTTTAAAGAAGAAACATTCAAAAGACACTTACTATTCGACATTGGATGACATTTTCCGGATGTCCCAAAGTTTAATGGCCTGATCTTTTCCATTTGAGATAAAATAACGGCCATCTCCACGAGTGTCGATGAAAGTAATGCCTTCTAGATGTCCCATTAGAACTCCAGCCGGCTTTTCCCTTGTATCAAAGCAACGCCTGTCCCATACCTGGAAAACCAGTACATCAGAGTTGTGAATGGCAACAATATGTAAATAGCAATTCTCTGGATACAACCCCTCATGAGGAATCGCCGAACCATTTGACCCTTCGCCCATTCCAATATAAAGGAATAGTCAATCAAATAATAGATAGTAAATGGGTCAATATGCATGCTCCGGGCACCTTAATTAACCGGTCTCTCTCTTGTCATCAGCTCTAATCTGCTCAAAGGGAAACGAGACATAACTTTATCTAATTTCACTTAAGATAATTGATGAAGTAGAAACCAATAAATGATAGTCTCATGAGACGAATCGGCAACAAGTAACGTGGAATAAGTATCTTCATAGAAATAAATGATGGATATCAATTATTGACAACTATGCCATCAATTTCTAATCAATATAAATGATGGGACTAGGCGAAGTAACCAATTGAAATCAAATTAATGAGTGGTTACTCGATTCAAAAAAATTGAAATACAATTACTTGATTGAACTAGAATGGAAATATAGTTTCCACCTGTGGAATTTACCCATAAATGATTTGTTAATGTACTTTTCCTGATTCAATACTTTTTCCATATTAAATAATATTTTCCCTCCGTCAAATTTTTTTCAACTTATAATTATTGTCGTTCTTTTTCCAAAAATAAAAAAATTCGCACAATATGAAATTCACTAGAGTTTCTTGATATCAAGTTTAGAGCAATATCTTGCTAGTGACTAGAAGTGGACATTTTAATCGAAACCAAATCTCGCGAACTTAAGTCGGAGGTTCTAATTTCTTTCCGAATAAATAAATAGGAATCAGAATTGGGAACACATGATGGATCGGTTCTCAGATGGTTCTTGATTTTTGAAGTGGAACTATGAGTAGTCGACTCAGGAATCAAATTTATCATTTTTATAAATTTTTTACTTTGTATTATTTTTAATTTTTTACAACTTATTCATCTTGACCTAAAGAAAAGAGAAAAGAGAAGAAAAAAGAAAGGGATATATTCTAGATTATATATAATCTATTAATATGTCCTGATCTATATAAAAAATGGAAATCCATTACAATTACAAGAAATATTGCATATCCACCTGTAATTAAGAATCATATTAAAACCGCTAATTGTCTAAAATCTAGACTAGCTTTGGGCTCGATTTAACAGACCTGTAATGCTCAAGGTTTTCAACCCCATAATATAATTCATTGAAGCTATGGACAATTTATGTCAAGTTCAGGTGTTCAAACTTCCAAATATAGGTTCTAACATTCCAGAAAATAGTACGTAATTAAAATTAAAGCCAGAGAAAATTTCTTCTTTTGATTTAGGCATGAATATTGTGCTGGGAAAAAAAAAGGAAAAGAAAGAAAGAAATAAATAACATCATCATGGATCATACCCTTGGGAATCTGCAAAAGTATGCATATATGCTAGAGTTGACTAACTCGGAATTTCTACTTCAAGACAAAAGTCAGTGTGTAAAAAGACTTACAAGGACGGGAATGTCTAAAATGGAGATTTACCTTGCAAAGGTGATCGTCACTACCAGAATATATGATGTGGCCAGTTTCATCAGCAAAGCAGACAGCATTGACATCAGACTACGAACAACATGCAAGTCAAATTAATAGATTACAACATCTAAATATACCCAAAGAAGATCAAAAGAACGTTGCAAATGCAGATGTAAACCATAGAAGCCAATAGAGGAGCAAAAAAATAAATAAATAAATAAAAATAATGATGCATGGCTGCAGCTATATATGGCAAGCAATCTGTATAAACCTAGTCCATGAATTCTTAAGTCACTTCCCTGCAACATTCTATGAGAACGAATGACGAGAATGACAAGAAATCTGCTTCAATTCCAAGGATAATAGCACTATTTGTCCCAGCGCCTATTTTTTCTATGCTGCTTGGCAAACTAAGTAGTAAGTACTACAAACCGATACAGAAACCGATCCTACTGATAAAGTTATTTTTCCATTTATGTTATTGTTGATTAGCATATTGACGTCTCTAGGAACTTTCACTCAGTCAACTTTCAGGTATCTCCAGTATCTGATAGTAGACAAATGCCTGCCATAAAGAAGATATTTTTCCCCCACCCCCCAAAACCGATCTTCAACCAGCCCAGCTCAAAGACATCAGTGGAGCGCGATGTTCATAATGGGAGCTTCAGTTGGAACATAGCCTTTAGTCGAGGTTTGCAGGATTGGGAATTGGATGATTATGCGCTGTTCTTGGCATCTCTATACGAGGTATACATCAGAGCAGGAGAGGGTGATTGTAGTAGGCGAAGTTGACACGGGATGGTTGTTTTTCTATTCGCACTTATTTTAGATCTTTATTGGAACTTGTGGAGAGTTCATTCCCATGGAAGATGGTTTGGAAATGTAAATTGCCCCCACAAGCGGCATTTTTACGATGGACGGTGGTTAGAGGACAGGTGTTAACCGTGGATAATCTTCGTACAAGAGGTTTTTATGTCACAGAGTGGTGTTATATATGCAAGAGCGATGGGGAGACAATTGATCACTTGTTTCTTCATTGTGATCTTCCTCGTTTATCGTGGAATGATATTATGGCGTCGCAACACATGGATTAGGTGTTGCTGAGACATATGCAAGACGTGTTAAAGGCATGGAGGAGAAAGTTTCGAGATAAGGATAGCAAACTTGTTTGGACCTTATTCCAAGTTATATCATATGGTGTGTTTGGAGAGAAAGAAAGAACCGCTGCTTTGAAGATTTAACACAGACAACGGAGCAGATTATGGAGTTGTTTTATTTGAAATTGTATAATTGGTTTAATGCAGCGGCTATTAGGCATATAGATGACCTGCCTAATTTCATGTTATTACTTTCTGATTTAAAGCGATAATACACTTCATGTGTATTATGCATGCATTGATCAATAAAATACTCGATTACCTTTCAAAAAAAAAAAATTGGTTCATTAAGAATTTTGTGAGGTAAATGTGAACTGTCATTTGGTCGGGTTGAAGAACCAGACAAATAACTCCTAGATGTACATCATATTGTAAGATAGAGTGCAGTACCTTATGAGCTTTGATCCGCAGGCTTACTCTCTTGGCTTCAAGATCATAAACATAGATTGAATCATCGCTGCTACCTGCTACAAGCTCTTGCCCATCTGTTGAAAATTTCACGGAGAAGATTCCGAAAGAATAATCCTCATAGTCATCGATATTAGATGAAAACTCCAAACCTTCATGAATTTCCTAAATAAGAAAACCATTTATTATAATTTATGGAAGATGAAACTAATTTAAGTATTTAATCATTTCAACATAATGTTTCTTGATAGCATTATTCATCAAGTCTCCCTCAGGGAGCTCCTGAGCAAATAAACTTGACCATTCATATTTCTGCAGATAAAAGCTCCATCTATAATTCTTACAATATTCTCAGAATAGGGGACATGCAAGAAATATATTATTTTGAGTGCTTTCAAATAAACAGACCTGGAACGCGAGCTTTATCATAAAACGCTGCCCATATCAATAGTAAATACACGAGTTATACATCTTTTCTTTTCCTTTCAGTGATCTACGTTTTTGGTGATACAAAATTCATCCTACCAGTGACAAAATCTATAATTCATACATAATGACCAATTGTCCATCAACTATTATTTCACTGAAGCAAGGAAATACTTCGCTCATGATGTTAAATGTATACGATGAATAACAGAAAGGCTGAAGCACAAACAAGATGGGCAGCATTTGGAAACCCATTGTTTTAGCATTCAAAAACAGAATATAAATAGAATTTTTTTTACTACTTACCGTTATATTTGCATGAGACTCTTTTGTAGCAGATCCAACATCAACAATATGGACAACAGGTGAGATACTGGAATATGCCTGCAGTCATTGCATCAAACAAAACTGAAATAACTAGCTGGAGGCGGGAGAAAGAAGAAAGTCGTAGCTTGGATGAGCATCACCCTAACCACAGCTCACAACTCATAAGGTACGTGGCAATAAAGAATTATATATAATCTGAAGTAAGTTCTAAGAGAGAGAATTATTAGACATGCATCAAACGCCAAAACTGACAAAATCTTAATGGATCAATTATAACTTAGGGAAGATGAAATTTTAAGTAATCCCTGCCTTTTCCGCCAAACTGAATGCAGTAAAAATTGCCATTTATGATTTACATTAATATGCCAATAGACTACCTATGCAGAATCTAAATTACAATTTCCACAAGCTTACAAGCAAACGGCAATCTGGTGAAAGGGATGTATCGCTAATCGTCCATCCCATGCTTCTTGCCCTGATGTCCTTTTGAACTTTCCATCCATAATCAACATTATATATTCTAATATGACTTTCCTGTTCAGAACACAATAACAGCCTGTTAACCCAATAGAACAAGCTTCTATGAAAATTGAGTAATTATTAAGACCTTCATAGGCCCTGAATACATGGCGCTTTATAGCAGAGGGTACCTGAAATCCTGCCACGAATAGAGAACCATCTGCAGAAAATTGCGAAATGTATGCACGACAATTCATTTTATCGATATCTGAAGGACCATTAACGGGCAAATACCTACTCAAGATATGGCAAGAGTCTGCCAACGAAAATCTTCCTCTTCCTCCATAATTACATTCCCTGCCGGCCAACATTTTCACTGGAGAAACAGGCAGTCTCGCCTTACCAGGAGCTGCCTTGCTCAGCCGCTCACTCGGGCTTGACGTAATCTTCGTAAGTTGTGCAATTTCAGCATCGCCACAACCCAGAACAACATTTCCATGAGATCCCCCAGCCTCCTTACCAACACAAATATCATTATTCCTTCTAGACCTACTCATTTTGCAGTAACATATCTATTCCACAACTTAAAAAATGTAGTGACTATAGACCCTTTTATATGTAGCAAAATACTGAATTGAGCTCTTTTAACACCCTATTCTTCTCTTTCTTTTAATGGGTCTTCAATGTTTCCTCACCATTCCTGCAAAACGTGATTAAATTGTGAGAACTAAATTGAACCCATAAATTCCCAAAATCCATAAACGAGTAAATTTACACAGAGAAGGGTTTATCTTTGACAAAATCAACAAAATTTAGCAAAAAAAGAAAGAAAATTCAACCTTGTAAAAGCTTTCAACCTTTCAAACAATCAGAATTAGATTCACAGAATATAGCAATAAGGTGAATCACTTCAATATAACAGTTCGCAGTCGCGTGAAGACTGACTCGGTTAAGCAGGCATGCGTGAGCAATGACGCATACCTGAAATGGATTTTCAAAGTTTTGGCAGAAATTAGATTTTGTATGTAATTTTGGGATGACTGTGAGAAATTTGTGTACTACATAGTTTATGGGATTCGAGTCCACCATACATCGGGGAGTGTTGTTTACGCGACGGAGTTCGCGATTGGCAACAGAATGCCGCGAAAGTAGACAGGAAAATTGCAGCCTTCATCCCAATCTTTCAGCTTTTTTACACTGTTGCAACAGAGGGATTTTCGAGAGGTGGGCATGGTGAGAATTAAAATACTCTTTTTTTATCGCTTTATTTATTTATTTATTTTAATTTAATTTAATTTTTCAAAAACATAAAATTAAAGTTCGATGTTCGGACTATGTTTCCTATCACCATCTCGATTCTCAAACTGGATGGGACTTAATTTGAAATTTTTCATTAATTATAAAGATAAATTATGCTGAAAAATATTATGAATCACCTACATATTAGACTATAAGAGGGTGTTTGGTGGGGATTAAAATTAGATTTTTAGTAGATTGTGATAAAAGTTTTTTGAAATGTGTGGTTGAAAAGTCGTGGGACGAATAAAAGATGTTGTTAATATTGATTGTTTGATTTTGATTTAAATTAAAATCTGATTCTAATCAGAAACAAACAGGGCCTGAATAAAACTCAAACATGAACTAAATTTAAAAAAATAAATAACATAGAAAAAAGATATGTCACCAAAGCCTTCCATATGGTGAAAATCGCCTTAATTAAATTGGTGCTAAATGAAATCAACAAGCACCAATATTGTGCAGAACACATAGGATTGTTAACGAGAATGAGAGTATGAATGAGACATCAAAAATGAAATTGATGTTGAATTAGGTTCACTCAGAGTTTGGATCGCAAGTGTAAGATACTCGGGTGGAGCATCTAAGAAAGTTGGGGAAAATGACTTATTTTCTTAATTTTACTTTGATCTTTTTAACATTAGTTTTTTCTTTCAAGATTGGGGTTAATATATCCCTTCTTATTTAAAAATTCAAGACACTCGATTATTAAAATGCATTTTTGGATAGAAACGGTTAAAGGGAAGTGAGGCCACTAAATACTTTTAAATGAATGGTTCAAGATAGCGTTACCAATAAACGAAAGTTGGAGAAAAAAGTGAAAAAGGTGCAAACATGAGGACTGCAGTTGCAAATTTCCTATTATAATTGATGAATTATCTGGTAAGTGGCTGTAGATTGGGTAGCCATAAAAGTCCAAAGCACCGTGTTTGGCATGTTTTTCTTAAATAACTTAAAAGTTTCCAGTTTAAGTCATGTTTATTTGTTGATGCTTTCAAGTGTTTATAAAGTTTCTACGGAATATGTGAATAGAAATTCAATACTAAGCCCCCATTTGTTTCTCATTTTTCATGAAAATATGACTGTTATACATCACATCAAACCATATATTTTGAATTTTCATCTTTTGTGTGGGCCCAATAACGACTATATTTTTTATTACCATTCTACAATAAGTAGTGAATTTTATGAAAAATAGGAATAAAAAGTATTAGAATAATGCTAAGTGTACACAATTTTTTACACAATCTTTTACACCTCTCTCACATGGAAGGGGGCCCACACATAATAAAATAATCGTGGACCCCCCTCCATGTGAGAGAGGTGTAAAAAATTGTGTAAAAGTGTGTGTGTACATGTAGCATCACCCAAAGTATAATATAAAAAGCTTAAATTAATACCTTATTTGAGCTCCCACTTTTTCAAAAATTTATTTTCAATCGTACATTATTTAATAAAATAATATTACATGTAAATCAAATAAAATTCATGGGGCTAAAATTTAAATACCTTAATTGGCGAAGTACTTGTTTTCTTTAGCAAAATTGAAAAGTACTACATTTTACAATGTAAAGATTTTTATTTAACTCATCTAGAATTTAATTAAAAGTTATTATATTATCATTCTATTAATATAACTTAATATATCTAAAATTTACACACTAGATTCGAACTCCACTAAATACCACATAAAAACCACCCCCTCTCGTCCTCTCCCCACTATTATTCGAATGCCACGATAATCTGGACCACCGCGTCTCCATGTACCAACAGTCACTACAAACCAAAACCAAAATTGACCAAACTCTAACCACAAATCGACAATGTTGTTACTGATGTGGAATTGATGGCTGAATAAATTGAAGAAGAATTAGACCGAAAAGGAAAAAAAAAAGGAAGCAATACCGCAGATGTGACAGTTGAGCTTCGATTTGGATCCATAATATCATTTCGGTCATCCGAGTTCGTTTCTGACTTGAAAACTACTTTTAAAGTTTTAAGTTATTTTCATCATTTAGTTTATTTCGAATTCTTTTCAATTTTAGTTTGTTTAAACTAGGTTTTCACGTAAACCATTATAAATTAATGGTTAATTCACCTTTTTTTTAATCAGCTTACATTAATAAAATTTTGTGAGTATATTCTTCATAATTTGATAGATTCCAAAAATTGTGTTCCTAAGGTTTTCGCTTGAAACTATTGTTTCGCGCAGTGTCTGTTACGTAACAACCATGATGGCATCATTGCTTCTACCAACCATAGCCACCAAAATCATTGAGATCGCGAGACCTTGTCGTCGCACCATAGATCGCAAATCCCTTCACTGACAGTTTTGTTCTTGTCCAGACATGTGAAGATGAAATTTGCTAAAATTTGAAATAGATCTAGGGTTTCTTGTTGAAAGTTTTACGAGATGATGGCGCTGGATTTCAATTCTATGGACATTGGTGATTGATTTACATGGAGGCATTTTTCAATTGTTATCTAAACGAAAAAGTATGCATTATGTTACAATCCGTGAAATATTATCGACCTTAATCCACTATAATATTATTTATAGAGTTAACCACTAAAACTACTAGTCTTAAAAGCAAAAGTATACGAGCTTATTTTTTGTTCACTTGAATTAGAATTTCAATCGGAACTCAAACGCGTTATTGTTTTGTTCAACCAATTCGAGAATATAACTTTTATTGTCATGTCATACAAGGGGAAAAAAGAAAAAAAAGAATCGAAAGACGATTCATTATAATTTTGTATTAAATTCTTTATATTGTCTGCATGCACCGAACGGGGCGAGAAGGAATAACATTTCTCTCAAAATTATTAGATTTTCAACAAGTAAAAATCATTTAATAATATGATGGATCACTGAGTAAAACCGCCCATTGCTAACAAAAGGATTACATATACCTCTTGCGAGGAGACACACAAACCATTTATCATTTTTATGTTGTGAACCCAAATCTCATTCTCTTGTACAAAGAACCAGTGTTCCATAAACCGTTACATTATCTTCACAAACGAAGATATAAACTGTTACTCCGTGGCCATGTCATATACACGGGATTATATACATCTTACCCATAAATCCACTAAGAGTTGTCAAACAAACACCAGCGAATAGTTGTAGCAAGCTCACCAACCCTCAGAGGGTGGAGAACGACTGCACATATTCCAAAACAAACACCGACAGCAGCTATTGCAAAGCCGAGTGGACGAGAGGTCACAACTGTCCTCGTAAATAAGCGACTGCACGACTTTCCCGGCGTTTCCTTCAGGTCTACACTTACGATCAGCTCTCCATTCAAAAGAGGAATGGTTGCACTTTCGCCTATAGAAGGTAAAACCATTCTTGACTCCAACTTATTCTTTGCCCTTTCAAGACCCTGCAAAATGTCCAAATCGCCATCCCATTTACTAAGATAAGATGTTTATTTACTAACTTGTTTATTGATGTTCCTTCCATTAAGAAGTGAAAACACAATAGGTGCTTGTTTAGTAGTCTTTCTAAGTGCTTATAAATTATGATTCCTACTGAATGTGAGGATAATGAGTGGGTTTAAAATGTGGATCCTATGAAATATGTGGATAAAAAGTATGTTCAACCAGTTTAAATGTTAATTTAAGCTTTGCCAAACAAGCAATAAGTAGCTGATGTCCTAACCTGATTGGTAGCTGGAACGGGAGATCGACTATGGTGTTGGGAGCTTTGACTGGAAATATTTCCATCTGATGCATGCATTACTGAATATTCTTTTTCCTCTAGTTTTTGATGAAGTATATTTCTCGCATTAGCTCTATACGTGTGTAACAACTTCATATCAGCATCAGAAATGCCAACCACAAAATTATTATCCGTCTTAGATTTCATGCAGTGAAATATTCTCTCCAAAATGACAGTAGAATCTCGCTTTATCAGAAAATTCAGTAAATAGTTGAATCTTCGTATTTCAGTAGATGTCAGCTGTTGCTCTGATATGGGTTTTTTGAGTGACCATGCTACTTCCAAAAGAAACCTCGAGAACTCAGCTTGTCTTGAGGCCAAAATTTCACATGCAGACCTTGGGGAAGATAACTGTTGTTCTTCGGAGCCATCAGATGTATTAAACTTTTTTTGCAACAGCTCCATTTCTTCACAAACTTCCTTGTTCCCAATAAGAACAGGAATGAAATTCGACAAACCAGACAGATTCTCAACCTACAAAAGTAAAAACCACAGCCTAATTAAAAGAAAAATGCAACCATTTGGAAATGCATT